ATGTGTGTATATATATATATATGAGAGAGTATATATATAAGAGATTATATATATGTTATATATATATATATATATATATATATCATATATATAATCTCTTATATATATAATCTCTCATATATATATATATACACACATACACACACATATATGTATATATATATTTCATATATATATTCATCTATTTACAATTCTGTCCATAAATTCCTTCACCTTTGGTTAAAAAGTTTGAAAGCCCCCTCGTATCCCTTTTACAATCTCTTTCTCTGTTGTGAAACACACACACACACACACACAAACACACACACTTTGCATAAAAAGATATTCAACTTTGCTCCCAATAAATCAATGTACATTCCTCAATTTTTCCCCCCGCGGGGGGGACGAGATTTTTCGACATTCTCCCGCGCGGACATTGTGAGAAAGAGTCGTTGACCCTTTCTTCTGTTTGCGCACACACACACAGGCACACACACGGACAAACACACAGGCACGCACGCTCGCACAAGTAGTCCGACGGTGAAGTTTACACAACTTAGGGGAACAAAACCAACGTAAACCGAACATTGAAACGTGTCCCTTGTTCGCGCATCCTGTTTTTTTCAGTCCTTCGCTCCGGGGTTCTAGAGGCACTCCGATGTGTGTAGCAACAACGACAACAACACAAACAGCGAGAACGACAACGGGTTGTGTTTTTTGTTTGTTTTTTCCTAAAGTGATCGAAGCATCCTTTGCACGCCCTTTTCCCGGAGAAAAGCCTCTTGGCTACGTCTGCCGTTTCACCCCGCTAAGTCCTCAACACGCCTTGGAGAGTTCCGGGGCGGCGTCGACGGGCGAAAGGCGGTACTGCACCTTGGTGTTCGTGATGGCGCCGTGTTTCTGCCGGAGGTGCAGGCGGAGTTGGCTCTTGTGTCGGAAGTGCAAGTTGCACTTTTCACACTGGAAGGGGGGGGGGGAGGAAAAGAGGCCGTTGAAGTTTGATTGCAAGGTCAATTGTGTCATTTTTAGGGGACCAACGGATACCGGGAAAGGAAAGGGGAACAAATTCAGAACAAATTTTGTTTTAGAAATCGGATTTCTCCCCAGGGAAACTACAGCTAGTCTTTGGCCAAGGGGCAATTCCATCTCTTGGCATTTATTGCGCTAGAAATTGCAGGTAGGCAGGCCTGGAATCACAAGTATTCATTTAGTGACGCTTCAAAGTTACAACAGCACTGAACACTGGAGGTTTTTAAGAAGATAAATCCAAATAAACCTAAAAAAAACTAAACCTAAAGAGGTTGGGGAACCATTTGACTGAAGTGGTGTAGGGTTTCCTAACTAAGCAGGGGGTTGGACTAGAAGACCTCCAAGGCCCCTTCCGACTCTCTTNTTTTAGCCTCCAGCCTCCTAATCCTCTTTCTTGCTCTTCTCTGCACTCTTTCCAGAGTCTCCACATCTTTTCTATATCGTGGCAACCAAAACTGAATGCAGGATTCCAAGTGTGGCCTTACCAAGGCCTTATAAAGTGGTATCAACCCTTCACACATCCCCTCATATAAATTGTTTATGAAAAGTTCTGGTCCCAATGCAGAACCTTGAGGTACCCCACAGGCATGGATGTGGTGATTCTAGCCCCACTTTAGGCATGGAAGCCAGCTGAGTGACTTTGGGCCAATCACCAGGAGATGGTGAGTTCTAGTCCTCCCTTAGGCATGAAATTCAGCTGTCTGACTTTGGACTAATCACTAGCAGGCGGTGAGTTCTAGTTTTAGGCACGAAAGCCGGCTGGGTGGCTGGTTCATAGTCCTATTTGTGATTTGGCAGGTAGTAGTGGCTTCGCTGATGGCTCAGGGTGCCTGCTGAACCTTTAAAACCTGTGTAAACTCTTCCACCAGGTGAGGCGAGTTGTGTAAATGTGAGTTACATATGGATTGGGCCTCCTCTGAATGGGAAATTAGAATTATCTGAATTATAATCTGATTGGGGATACTAAAATGTTTTCCAGCCATTTTAGACCTCAGAAAGCTATACAGCTCAATGAGAAATTAGATCTTTCTTTCTTTTTAAAATTTTGTTCCTTTTTCTTTTTCCTTCCATCCTTCCTTTCTCTTTCTTCTTTCGCTTCCTTCCTTCCTTCCTTCCTTCCTTCCTTCCTTCCTTCCTTTCCTTTCCTTTCCTTTCCTTTCCCCTTTCTTTCTCCCTACCCTCTCTTCCTTCCTTCTTTTTTCCTTTCTTTTTTTAAGTTTTTATTTTATTTAGAATGTGAGCATTCCATCTTTCCTTAACTACTATCTCTGAACTACTATTATTACTTTCAGTAAAGAAACTAATCAAGGAGAGAAGCAACTTAGAACTAAGGAGGAATTTCCTGACTGTGAGAACAATTAATGTGGGAGCGCCTTTCCTCTGGAATGAGCTGCCCCCCCCCCTCCGGAGCTTCGCATAATCCCCGACCTCCGGTCCTTCCGATGCACCCTTAAAAAGTTGGCTTTTCCAGCAAGCCGGCCTGGCCTGAACAGAATAAAATAGAGGATTAATTTGGTTGTTAATTTTAATTTAATTTTTAAA